ACGTACTACCTCACGTAGGTATACTTATTGCAACCACACAGTTCATAGCTATTGTCTTTCCCACAATAAAAGCAAAACTGGCAGTCAAAGCAGGCGCCAAAAAGATACATTCTAGAAATACCAGGAAGTACGTGTATTGCGATCTGGAATTTTACTCGAAATGTCACGTGATAATTGTAATCTGTGTAATCACGCACACACTAATTTGAGGGTGTCACAGCATTTTGAAAATCGCAATAAAATACCTTGGCTTTGAATGACAAAGCAAAATAGATAAATACCCGTAGACATCCCATGACTCAGCTTGGCGGCAAATCAGATAAATACACACCAGGAAATTATAATGGCAATTCGAAACCGAAGGTAATTTCGATGCAGAATAAATAAGAACGTCTTTATCGTTTCTTGAACAACAGAATAACGATAACATTAATATTTTTATAGATAGTTTATCAGAAGGGAATTAGATTTTAAGGATCTGTGCGTGTTTAATGAATTTCTCAATTTCTAGAATTAGAATTAACAATGTTACTTTCGTTTGATAATGCATGTAAGAACGTTAGCATAAGCAAGCATTATTCGACAAATATCCACATTGATATTCACAATAAAATTGGGGTTGTCACACCATGAATCGATATTTAAGTTGGTGTTAATGTTTAAAGGCAGTTGACTGTAATCGGAACTTATTCGTGCAACATGGCTAACCAATTGTCCTGATATATTGTGTGTGGTGCGCGGTACTATATTTTTTTTTCTCCAAAAAACATTAGTTTCAAACTCAGAATCACTTACATAGTGTTTGCGGTCAGAAAAGTTCTAAAAAGACAGGTTTTTATATAATTTGCTAGTAAACTTTAGAACAGTCTCGTGACTCATGTCAGCGGGGCAAGTACCGGTAATTGCCTTTTTATGACCAAACTATGGGAAAGAAGAGCAAAGTTATTCGTGTTCTAACGCGCGCTAACATATCATCACTTTGTTAGAGTCAAACACAAATTGTTGCAATGTTATTATTATGATTTCAAGCGTTTAAGCGTCGTGGAGTTAGTTCAGTTGCTATTGTGACAATGACGTATGCTCGTGATCAATTTCCGTGCCCAAGATTGATGCTCAACACTACAATACATCGCTCTCGAAGAATGCATAATTTTCATATCCTTGGAAGAGTTTATCCGCAAGTTTTTATCACCGAGACAGGTCAACTGATTCGCAATGGTAAAAACACATTGAAATCAATACATAGCATGTTTTCTCTAATTTGTTTGTTCCGAGATATTCCTAATTGATCACATATACGATAGTGCCATTTTTATACAACATAATCTGTACTGGCTGATTATTTAACCAACGTTGCCTTTTTAACGGACTAGATACACGTAAGAGCAGAAATCCATCGTCGAGCTCAACAACCTATTCAAATGCGGTTCACAAAGATCTTGACTGGTAAATAAGGGTTAAGAATAGTTCGATCCGGCCAATTGTTCAAGATCGAAAAATCAAAACTTAGGCCCTTCCAGGTAATAGTAATATAAAGAGCGACAGTATTAACTATACGCAAGACGGGTATCGGTCTAGGAATTAAGAAGAAACAGCGATTAATAATCAACTAGTTTTAATAATCGATATAGTACAATTTTATTGGCGGGCTACCTATACGGTTGAGCCAGTTTCAACATACTGTTTGAGTAAAAATGCGCAAGCAAAGAGTCGGAAGCAGTTCCGTTTTAAGCGACGCAATAACTATTTACGCTAAAGATAATTGTGATGAATCGTTATGCGGAGAGCTGTTCACTCCAAATCGATTATGATTAACACATTCGTACAGACACATTTCATCGCATCGCATCATATAACAGTGTTGAGGGATTTTCGCGTCTCATTCCCAAATGAGTAAAATGGTTCACAGAATTATTATACTCAGTTTCACTGACGTACTTTGAATAACGCGGTAAATCTTCCTCTGGCTCCGATCCAAGACGGTTCGATGTAAATAAGTAAGTTATATTCCAGCTCCTGTATTGCGTCTTTATTAAATTATTGAAAAAAAAAACACTCATATAAAAAGTAAATGTACATTACTTTGTTTGATCCATGAGCTTTTGATTATTCATTGTATGTCGAATCTTGCTTATAATCATGACGTACTCTCGGTAGACTAAGCGCGCAAGATAAAATCAAAGCGGAGCTCCATACGCCTCAGGTAATCTCTCAATCGTATATTTACGTCGAGAGATATACATTATTGGTATTCCAGGTATTTTCCGTATTCTTCGCTTGAGATCCCGATCACATGTGGCTACTATGAAACATTTGTGCTGGAGAATATCATAGTGTGAGAGGAAAGCTTGTGTAATTGATGCATCGACGGTGATAAATACCTGTGTGACTCGTTGTACTATACAATCGTCGGCGTAAGTGCCCTTGTGCAAACAAGGCAAACGTTCAAAGCGAGGATCACGAGCAACGCTAATTACGTTAAGTCAGTACTGATCTTGAAAATGACAAGAAAATCAACCAACAGTATGCTCACCGAAGTGCAATACGATATTTAGGTCCAAGTTTCTCCAATTCAGCCATAACGCAATCAGTTATACATGGTATGCCTAATGAAAAAAAGAAGCCAGTTACAAAAACAATAATGTAAAAAGATAACTCGATCGATCAAAGAAACTCACTCTTGGCATATAAACAATCCATCATGGACTGTACAAGTTCTAATTTGTTTTGTATCGAAAAGTTGATAAAGTTTGTATCAACCAGTACATGGTATGGTGGTCCAAGCGCATCGTTATACTTGAAGAATAAAGAAGAAGCCACTTGAGGGCTATAGCCATGTTATGGTCAGTAAATTTATAGACATGTCGGGTAAACGTTGGCTAATACTTACACATTCCTAACGGCATTCTTCTCAATCTCTTCTTCTTTTTTTTTCAATTTATCTTGGACACTCTTTCTAGGAAGTAGGAAAAAGTTGACAAGTCAGAAGCGAGAGACGTATATGCATTCACCAAGAAAAAAGAAGGTATATTTACAATCTAGAATCGTTAGGATTGAGTAATCGTTTGACTTGTGCAAATCTTCTTGTTTTTTTAGCTTTACCCTACGGTGTAAACAATCATAGAGTAAGCAACATTTATCGTTTTATAATAAATCAATCCTTGAGAGAGTGAGCAAATCATGTACCATTAGTATTTAGTATAATAATAAAGAATTTCTTTTTCGGCAAAAAAAAAAAGTTGTCATTATAATGTTTATTTATGATCAACGTATCAATTTCCAAATAAGGCCAAGTCAGGATAAACTGTCAAGCTTCTGCAGGATCAACTTTTTTTTTTTCAATTATCTCATTATGACCCATGACGATGAAGCTGGCGTTAAGGTCAAGTCACCTGGTTACAGGTACAAGACATTTAATTCTAAAAAACGGCGTAAGAGATGCAAGGCTGATGGAAAGTCAATTACCGAGAATGATATGATCACTTCGATAGAGATGGCGAGGTGCGTAACAACTACGCGAGTCGGTTCAGCTTGTAAAGTTTGAGTATTAATTGGTGCATTTTTATAGACAGTTGTTGATGGATAGTCAGTTCTATGTGGAGCTCAAAGGTATATATGTCGTACATGGAAGACCTTCCTATGGCGAGACGGTTTACTAAATTTACTTGCAAGAATCTTTGCAGAAGCATCTGTCCGCCCATTCCGCATCAGTCGTAGACATTGTATGCTACGGCATAGGCAGCATTGAATCGTCTATTCGATCGCGATACCAGCTTGCTTTTGCATTGTTATTGAGGGAATTATTACAGGTAAGTGAACTTGCCACGTCGCAGGAAGGAATAAAGCAAAAAGAGTAACTAGTCTGTTATAGATTACAGGAATTCTCTATGCGTATGATCCGTTGTTGGGTCAGGTTGATTTCAACACCTTTAACTATTATGACATAAAGCTTATTGGTGTCAACGAGGAAAGTATCCACCAGATGATTCTGATGTTGTCGGTGCGGCGCGGTGTAAATTGACTAATACTTGTACTTTCCCCGTCTGCGACTTGTAGAGAGGACAGCGAGTGATTTCGCAACCGACTTTGTTCTTTATGCCACACTGTCCTCTTTCTTTATACAATAACGTTCTTTCTGCCAACTGGGAAAAGCGTAGGCTCGAACAATTGATTGTGGTTGGTAACAGGTTTGATTTTTACGAAGAATCGTAAGTAATAATATTATCGTAACCGTCCAATTGCGTGCTTGTCACAAACGATGCTGAAAATTATTCGATTCCAATAGATTATTGACTTCTACACTAAAAAACAAGGCACCTTACGTCTCTCGAATATCCTTTGATATATGTCATTGTTAATCTTTGTGCAATACAATGTTATTCATCCTATACAAATTCAAAATCCAAATTACGCCCTGAGCCATATTCAGATTCTTCCCTTTCCGACTGTAACTAACGAGCATTCGCGCTCCATTCCATCAAACGCCTTTAATGACACTTCATGGCAATGGTTTGCTTTTACATCGGCAATAGAAAACGACAGTACTTTTTGGGATTGTGAGACAATCAATGAATATCAAGATCCAGAACTTTTATAGATTGTATTCCAGAGCAATAGAAACAAATCCTAGAAGTAAATAGAAGCTATTAACGTTAATGAATAATTTTCACTAGTGAATATAGCGATTTATTAATTAATTAATAAGAATTTCGTATTAAAGTGTGACAATGGAAATCGTTTTCATTGGCTATTCATTTTGACGGCATGGCAGATCAGCACATGTTTATGAAGAATTCCAGTTTGTCTTTTCAATTATTGTGTTAATTTTTATCCAATGCAGAGTCAAGTATCGGTAAGGAACGCTCATACGCTAGGTGTACTCCCCTCGATTCTTATCCTAGTGTTGGCATTTGGAATTGGAGCGGCATCTGTCTATTGGGCTCTCGATAGCTTGTTATCTGCCGAAACGTGAGTATTAGATCGATACAAAAAACAAAAACCAAGTTCACGACACTCAATTATCACTCGATTGTTGATTATGACTAGTAAGTCGGTGCTCCGTTTCCCAAGGACGCTAGGGGATGTAAAAGCGCTTCATACGGGATTGTCTAATGCAGATGATGCAGTGTTAGTGTTATGCTACATAGCAGTCTACATATTGTGAGTATGATACTTTTGAACCCATCACTGCGCAACACTCGTCAATTATATCGTAATCAAAGTGCAGCAAAACTTGCAGGCTGTTATAAACTGTATTCTTTGCAAATCGATAGTCCGATTTACACAATCGATTTATTCCAGTCTTCAGTCGTTCGCGATACCCGGGAGCGTTATGCTTAGTGTCCTGGGTGGAACATTATGGGGAACTTGGAAGGCATTAGCATTAGTTGGCTTTGTAAGTAATCGGAACGAAGTTGCGTTTAGCGTTTGTGGCAGCTGTATATTTGCTTACCAAATGTTATGTGATAGTGCTCGGCGACAGGAGCAACCATTTGTTATTTCCTATCATACTATTTGGGACAATCAGTCACTAGAGTATACCTTGCAGAGAGGATGGAACAATGGAATGAACAGGTAATATATTGATACGTGATTAAATGGGGGGACATGAGATCCCGATGTCAGTTTTAGGTAGAGTTTATTTAAGCGGAGGGATGCTATCAGTTTATCGTTGTTTTAGTCATACCTGTCGTGTTCTAATTATTCCGCTTGCGCGTTCGTAAACAGTTGAAAAATCATAAACAGCATCTGTTTTCCTACATAGTCTTTCTGAGAGTGACACCATTCCTTCCAAACTGGTTTATCAATATTGCCTCTCCTCACATGAATGTCGGCATCAATACATTCTATTGGGCTACATTTTTTGGTTAGTGTCGAGGGCTTTCCTTACAATGCTCAATTATTTCTTAACTAACAGCTTTACAGGGGTCATGCCTCTATCATTCATCCATGTTCAGGCCGGAGAGACAATACATAGAATAACAGAGACGGACGATTTCACTTTCTTAACGCCACAGAATGTACTTACTATGACAATGATAGCTGTTGCTGCGCTCATTCCGATAATTATAAGAAGAAAATTCGAGCAAAAGGATAAAGCGGAATGATAACAGGACTAGTTATTGTCGGGTATGAAAACAAGATGCAAGCACAAATAATCAATATTAGTAATGATAATGTTAATGATTAATAATAGCAACGTGACAAAACACTTGAACGGTTAGCACGCGTGCTACTGTTAAGGAAGAATGCTACAAGAAAGAGCGAGATGAAAGTTTTGATCGAATTTCGGGTCAGAAACTGGGATCGATCCCGATAGGAGAGTTTTCACGACGAAATAAAAACAAAGCCAAGAAGTTCAAACACCTCTTATTAATACTGATGCTTGGCTAAAATCAGTTGCCGTACTGCTAGAAAACGACGTATCGTAGTAGGAGTGTATGCTCTTGCAAATCGATCCACGCAGAACGTTTCTGCCATCTATTTTGGTGAATCATGGAGAGCGCGAACGCCATGACATGTTATCTGACGTAAAATGTTACGAGTGTAATGTTAACGATAATTATACGGTCCCAAATTCTCGTTCCTCTATTAGTTGGTGGCTCGTAAATAGCAAGACCAAGATATTATCCGATTCACATCTAATACCATAAAGTCGTATTGTTTTCGCTGTTTCTTTTGTCAATAAATCGTCATCATATTTACTCACTATCTTAAATAATGTACTTTATTATTATAGTTTTCAACTCAACCTACGCTGGCATACGTAAAGCAGAGTATCGGAGTTGCTAAATCATAAGCAATTAACGATGATACTATTGTAAATTGACTTTAACCGATTGTTATCCTTGTAACCGTCATTAAATACAAACCGATTCTCTTATTCCTCGCCTAATTATAATTCTATTTCTAAGATGGCAATCCGAAATCTGATAAGGGAGGTAACAGATGAGAATCGGGGCTGTTTCTTAGTTTAGGCAGATCTCCTGTATGTTAGAGTATTTACTCTCCGTTTCGAGACGTGACAAGGGATTTACATCGTTATGATATATAGTATTCCCTTATAAACAAGCCGCTGAATATCATTAGAAAGTGTCTTTCCATCCTCTGGAGATCATGCTATGAATAATAGACAGTCGTTCCAAATGTCTCAATTCATCCATCCACGTCAATTTGGATTCAAATAAGGCAAAAGACTACCATTGTTAGTATATTGCGTACGCTTTTGTTTCTGTGTCTTGTGTGTATCCATAAATATGAAGAAATAAAAATAATCATTGTTTATGTACTTGGCATGATTTCTGAACTATTAAATAAAATAAATATAGCTCAGTTTCGATATCACTTTAATTAATCCTACTTACTATACTGTATCTTATCTCGGAAATAAATATTCATCAAAGCTTTTAAGTTTGACTACAACAATTTGTGATGACATCTTCCACATTCTAAATATCTTTTATATTTGGCAGAATAAACCGACAGACCCGATCTCTTTGGTAGTGTATCACAACGTTAGCATAGAACTTTGTGAGACCTTCTAAATAAAGCCCGGACTTGTTTGGTTCATAATGCAGTAATGTAACCGCGTAGTGTGATTATATTCTTGTACAACGATTGCTATTGGATGGCAAAAAAGTTTTTGAACCTCAAAATTTTGTGTATTTTTGATACATATTATCTAATATCAATCATGATTCAAGAAAGTAAGGGACAGAATTGACCTTGTTGCTGGGTCATCAGAAGAACTCATCTTTAAATGAGTATCATGCGCTTTATATTTGACAGTAAAACGTGTATACATTGGTGGATTATTCAAGGGTATCATTGAGGAGGATATCGCTAATCGATTACGTCCCTTTGGATCGATAAGTAATGTAGACATTATCTATCAACAGGAGACTGGTAATTACGCTAAAGACTTGTGCTGACCTTTTGATAGGCTTTAACTAGTAGTATTTGTTCCAACGTCTGACAATATTCCTGCCGATAGGTGAAAGTCGTGGCTTTGCATACGTTACAATAAAGACGACTCCAACTTTGTGGAGAAAATGTAATGAAGCGAATAAGCAAACTGTTGTAACTTTGGAAAAAAAAAGATCATAACGATAAACTCAATTTCCCATCAGGCGTCTCGACACTCAACGGTACAATTTGGAAGGGTATGAAATTACGGATAGAAGTCGCCAAACCCGATTACAAACAGCGGTATTTTTTAATACTATTCTTGAGACAAAGAAAACATATTGACGCTGTCACTTTTATTTATTTGTTTTGTTTTCTAACTAAAGTCTGCAGGATCAATGGGAGCAGGAACGTCAACTGGCCGAGTCTCACGTATCAGGTGCACGTATGTCGAAGAAGAGAAAACAAGATACGGTTATTTTGGCAGATAATATGAGTTTGGTTACTGACAAGAATGTCAATGGACGTAAGGTCAGGAGTCGAGCGTGAAATTAAGTTTATTGTCAATTTTCGCATGCCATTTGAATTTCATAACAATACTCCGCGTTCAAAGGGATGGAAAAAAGTACGATACGGAAGAGCAGTTGCTGTTATGCGGCTTCGCAAGGATGATGGAACAAAGGTAAGTTACGCGGAAGGCCATAATAATTTCAATTACTCGAGAGGATCCGTTATCGGAGTATCCGTTCTTACATTTCGATTCTTTGTCTAGTTTGTGTTTAACCCGCAGCATTATCAAAACAATCTCAAACGGTTTACTGAACGTGATTTGGAACTATTGAAACAGACGCCGTCTGACACATCGCCGTCGCTAACGCGTGAAGTCGATGATAAGCATGATGGTAAGCAAAATATTTTCAGAGCATATATATACTTTATTTATCGATGACTGGGAGGATATTTACACTCGAATATACCAATTATGCAGAAGTCAAAGATAATTCAATAATCAAAAATAATGTAATACCGAAGACTATGTCTGCTACTCCTACTGCTGCTGCTGCTGCTACTCCTATTGCGACTGCTACTCCTATTGCTACTGCTACTCCTATTGCGACTGCTACTATTACTGCTTCATCTGCCTCTTCACCTTCCCCAACGATAATAGATGGATTGAGATCGAAATTTATGGACTATAATGACAGCATGGCAAACTTAGGGTTATCACAATCATCGTCAGTAGTAGACGGATTAAACCAATTAACCTTGGGTAAAGAGGTTAATAAAAAATATCAGCATATAATGGCTAAGCAGGTAACGTAATGGTCTCTTACCCGTTTAGTTGATCATATTGAATTTCTCGACACACATTTGGATATTGACAATTGTATGTGTCGCAGGAACGGTCCAATCGACAAAGACTTGAAGCGATTGAAAAACGTGTCAATGAAGAGAGAAAAAAGAAGAGAATGATAAGCGAAGCATTAAGCGATAACCAGACGTCTAAGGTGAACGGTTTTAGAATCTGTTAGCTGGTTATGTGGCCGTGCAATCTGACTTTTTTGTTTTTACTGTTCGATAGCTGAACAACTACGTAAAATACACAGACGAAGAAGAAAGTGGAGATAAATTGTCCCTGTTTGCATCAGATGACGACAGTAACTATTCCGACCATAACAGTGGGGAGAATTGTTTGTTTGGAAAAATAGGTATGCTGTGTTTTCTTTTTGCGCTAAGAATTTTGTGTCCACGAGACGATATGAACAATTTTATCTTTTTTGGGAATAGACATAAACCCTGTATTTGAAGGTGCATCTGGTCGTAAGAGGCTTCAGTTACAATCTCAGTTCCATGGTGATCGCCGTTTCAATTTGACTGAAGATTTCATGAGCGATAGTGATGAAGACGCGCAAATTGCACGGACAAACGAAACCAGTAATAAGAATGACATAAATGAAGACGAGGAATTTGATGACGAAATATCACGGGCACTAAGTGAAGAAAAGGCAAATCACATGAATATACTCAAATCAATGTTTGGTAACGGAATACTCAACAAAACTACCAGAAAGTAATGTATTTAGAAACGGTGATTCTGTTGCTTGTCCAGTCGAACGTTAATTGACGAGTATTCCTGTTATACAGAAAAGCTCCCGAATGGAAAGAAATACAAAGATTTGATCCTGAGGCACCCAATGGTGATTTGGAGATAGTACAAGACGTTGAAGGTTGTTAATTACTACTTGCATGCTGGCTGAATCAGATGTCACTCATTTACTTCATCGAACTATGTAGACTTTTCCACGAAGAATTTAGCAACGTCTATGTCTGTGGTACCAAAGGACGTGCGAATCGAGATAAAGGCTGATCTAAAGCGGTTGTTCACGCCAAATGCAGTGAAATGTATGTCGGTCTGATATTTCAGTTGATCTATTCATGCTCGTGTGGTTGTATTGAATCTTATTTACGGTCTCAATGTGTATAATAGCTAGTTCTGGATTCTCATTATTCGGACGTGAAAGCTCAGAAGACCTTTCCTAACAGCTTTGATGCCACTTGATCGATGTCAATGAGGACATAAATGGTGTTATTCGACCAACAGTATCCCACCCCAACTTTTCGAAAATATCACGTGATCAAGATATACATTTACATTAACCGTTTTTTATTAATGCAAAATAATCTTGCAGACTAGCTTGTCTTAGAGAACTGATTTGTTTTCTTCTTATCTGACGTTGTAAATCTTTCATTCCTGACAACACAGAACTGCTTACACTCACGTTATTATATTAGTAAATTTTGGATGTGAAACCGGCGGGCATTTGTGTGGCCAATTTGTAAAGTAATTTTATTGGACAATTAATGTGGGATAGTCTATCCGTTGTATATACGCATCATCTACTCTTCTTATATTACTCCACGATTCCATAATGAATGAATCCAGTATCTTGTTATCCGTAGTCCAGTCAAGAGGTCGTGGTTCCTTACAACGATAACAGGATGCGTTTATCTTGGCGTATATGTTTTCATACACGCCAGACATAATCAGCTTCCTTTATTAGACAATACTTTTGTTCGCTTGCATCATACGTAATTCCGATGGTAGCCCAAGCACCCGTGCTGAGAATATCTGGATGCTTATCACATAGCTGGTGGAAATAATAAATCAATACTTATTTAGACTATCGATAAATATGACGAATAAGTAAATAGTTTACCTCGGCATAATATGAATCATGTGTCTCGTCTGTTATTTCAAGTGGAATTGATTTAACATATAAAAAAGAATTAGAAGTAGTAGTAGGTAGACCGTTCAAGCGTAGACCATATTCCTCAACATGAATGGAATCCATCCCAATAAGCACCATTTGCCGAGTTTGTTTGTGACTGAGTCTTTTTTATAAATTCATCGAGTTCTTAATGTTACTAGTCCATCTATCGAATAATGCGGAACAGAAGCCATATCGAGAATAACAATGGCAAAAGCGGCTATCAGTAACCATGTAATAGTTATTATTGACCCCTTTATTAGTCTGTTGCGATGATAAAGCCAGGCGGAATGTCGTCTGTATCGACCGACATCACTATTGCTGTGCTGTGTTCGTGTGTTAGAAGTGAATGTATTCCGAAAACTCATTCACAAGTTATGGTATACATTCTTCATTGCTTTCCAAGCAACGCCAACGTTATCATCGTTTCGCGAATAGCGCAGTCAATTTGAGTTGGCTCTATGTCGGTGATACCTGAGCAAGAAATCCATTCGAGTCTTAAGTCTTACATTCACTTTCCAAGGAAAATTGAATCAAGCTGTCAATTGGTGTACAAGCAGGGTTGGGGACCGTCTCAACAGTCTGGTCTAGTCTCAAAGATTGCGGTCTTTTTGTTGAGGCTGGACCAGATCGG